TCAGCTAAAGCAAGGGCCCTGTTCTCAATGTGCACAAATCAATATACTTTCATCCATTTAAGTGAGATGTACACACTCTGTCCAAAGAGTACAAACTAAACATATCTCTCCTACAGTTTAACCAATAAGCCCCAGCTGAAATCTAACCTAATTGGGCTTACACATTATTTTTACAGTTTAGCCTCAGCTTGATATTTCATTCTGGTAGGAGAGAAACTTATAGAACAATATAACAGATATCTCCCACACAGCAGCAAATACATTTGGACAGGCAATGCAGGAAGTCTATCGAAGAAGGCAGACAAAAAACCTGAACAAAACAAAGGCTCAAGCACAAAAAGAACAAACACATACCTGCTTTTAAAAAGCCCCATGACATCACCATTCCTTGCAAGTTAAGAAATACTCAGTGTAGTCATCATTTCATATAGGCATTCTCAATTTTACCCTGACTAACCCTCTGAAAATTCTGAGCTGTGGAAGTTAGGCAAATATACTGCTCATATTCCAGAAAAACAGAGCCTAAGGAAGTTATTTTGAAACATTAAATATCTTCTCTGAAAACTGAGGAATAGCTGAACAACAGACTATTATATAACATCCTAACACTTAGAAAAGGTTTGTAACAAAGCTGAAAAGATTAGTATTTCACATATGGCTTCAGTCTATCTTCATTTGTCAAACTGATCACAAAAATCAATAAATCAGAAAAGCTAGTAGGATCCCTGTACATATAAACTAAAAGCTGTAACCCCTTTGACCCCAGGCACTTTGCATTACCAGAATTCCTAACAATAAATAAAGGGCGTGACAGCATTAGCGAGCTTTGTAGCTTCCCTATGGATACTGTCATGGCAATATGTAAGATGAAGACATTATTTAGCATCTGAGAAAAGAATTATCATCTCAAAGGAAAGGCAGGAGAAAAATTAGCCCAAAATGCACTTAAGCAGGATTAGGTAAGAGAGAGAACCCGGGGCACTTTGCAGTCATAGGCTGGTTGCCTTCATTAATCACTACAGCAGATACACACAGCAGAAGATGAATTGTTCATGAAACCAAAGCTTGGCCAAAGTATTAAATAATACATAACTATAGCCCACTCAATACCAAACCAGCACAAGATGCATAAGATTCTATAGGCTATCTGTGAAAAGATAAAAGAAAATAATGTCCCACTGGAGACTTCTGAAAATTAACGAGGCTGTGACTATTCCCATGGCTGAGAGAGTTGGTGGTTTTTTTGTGTTTTTGGGGTTTTTTTGCTGGATGGATTGTAACTGTGCTCGAGCAAAATGTACAGCCAGTTTTTTGCTCTGCAGACTTATATCCTTGGTGTGAGATGTAAAGAGATAAGCCAGGTTGTAGCCATGAGACTCTAATCAAAATAGGACAATGTATTTTAGCACTCGTGTGCATTTGCACTGCATTATAAATCTACACAGTATTTCACTGCAGGTCTGTGCTGCTGGTTTCTCTTACAATTTCTGTGATTCATTATAAAAACAATAAACTAGCAACAAAAACAAAACCCAAAACATAAAAGCAATTTTCTTTCTGCTGTGTTTCACAGCAGCTTACAACTACTGTTACTTTTCTACCAATTTTCCCTTTTCCATTCTGTTAACTATGTCCCCTTCCTTTTGTTTAAGTGGTGCTTTCAATTAAACTACCATCACCTGAGCTTCTTGTTCTTCAGATTGCTTCCTTATTTATACATTGCTGTTGGTAACACTTCTAAAACAACTCTAGAAGTAGAGCTTCTTCATTAGTTTGTAAACATAAGAGTAGAATCTTTGCAAAGGATACTTTGATGTTGCTAAAAGACACTGTGCATGGAAACAACAGAAAAAATACAAGCCATGTTGAAATACAGATACACACACACACAGTTTGCTAATATACCTCATACGCAAGCAAAGAGGTGCATGGCATGTCAAACCGGCCTGAGAAGGCCAGTAAGAATGTCAACCATTACGTGCAAAGGAGTCCACACAAAAATCTACTGGTAATCCAAAAATCTCAATTCACTTAAACTGTTCAACAGTTAACTGATAACAACCTTTAATCACCACTGCTCTGTTCCAGAGTCAAACAAGCAGCTGCTTCAAATCAGACATTAAATCCACTTTCTAGTCAACAGATCAATTTGAGGTCCACTACTGAAGAAGCACAGGATTAAAAAGCAATGTACGCAGTCGGCATTTTCTAGAACAGATTCAAAATAATAATTGTAGCAAAGACTGCTTTACAACACTGTTCTTGAAACACACAATAGCAATATATGCTTATTTATATCCTTCAGAAAGCAACATAATTATAACTCATTCAATTGTTGCTTCCTTTTATGCCAAGTCTTTGTAGGATTATCACACGAGAACGGAAAAACTTTTGCCCTGAACATAAACAATTTCACAGCAAGAAGTAAAATGTCATACCAAAAAGAGGCAGCAGTGTTGAAACCAGCCTCATAACAACCCTCTGAGGACTACAGCTGTTCCTCTGCCAAATTTAAAGGCACAGTTAACACATGTTGAGTAAATATATCAGTGCTGTTAATGATTCAAATTCTATCAGTGGTAGACCCTCCAGAAAGGAATGCCACCTTTAGATAGCTTTTTTAAGCCAGAGTTCATTTTTGGGACCAGGGGATTAAACGACTTATTTTAGTAGTAAGAAATTTTACACTGTGTCCCTATCCCATGAGTAAAGCTACAAATTCTAGACTTGCCTCTGGCTACTTCCTGATAGAAGTAAATTTACCTAGTAAGTTACAGGCTCTGCAAGTATCTTGTTTGATCTTGTCTAGTAGCCTATTTGCTCAGTAAGGCATGAAGGAGGACTGACACTGCCACATTCTTCCTCTGTGCTACCAGATTTAGACTACAGAGCATCCCACAGCCCATTTCCCTGAACACAATGCCAGGGGAGTAAGAAAAGATATAGGGAGGTGCTGTGGAGCAGCATGGGCTTTGAAGTCAGGAGCAACCAGAACTGTATGCACTCATGACGACAGGAATATTACAGAGGTGGGTGAGGGGACATTTTAGCAAAATCTGCAAAACAATATTTATTATTCAATTTATGTAGGCATGTTTTCCCTCAAAAATCACAAAGCGTGTACAGCATGGAAATCCACTTTTAAGAAAATGTCTGGAGTATTCAAAACATCTGGATGCAGCTAACAGATGTGGCATGAGACCCAGGGAAAATCATTACATTTCTGGGAGAAAAGTTGGAGGCCAAGCAACTTGATGCGGCTAAAGGCTAGATTTAGGGAACTGAATTCCAAGCCAATGTATCTCTCCATGTAGAGAAGTCTTGTCTGCAAATTATATCTTGATCTGAAGGCAGCTCTTAAACTATGCATGGACCACACACATCTGGACTAGGAAGTCAAAGGCAGCAGCATCACCCCTTGTTTGCTGCTGGCAGCAAAACAAGTATTTTGTTTTACATGCACTCGTACATATTTTATGTGTACCAGTGAAGTTTTTTTCACTGACAACAGAGTAAAATCTAACAAGAAATGTTTAAAGTTAGAGCAAGATTATTCAATCAGAGTTGAAGACAATCAAGAAAAAGTGATCTTTTTACTGACATTGAAAAAAAAGACATTTACTCAGTTCACTAAAGCAAAAGATGGCAAAAAGAGGACCAGCAAACATCAGTCCACTAACTACAATATACTTTAGTGTAATAGTAGTGTAGCTGGACTCTAATGGATTGCAGCTACATTACACTACTAGGGGTCTTTACAAGGGGAGTCTACAACACTGATCAATTCAGCGGTGTTAGTTTCATTTTATCCTGATTTTTCTCTCATATATATGCTTTCAAACATACAAAGCTGCTGCCAACCAGTACAGTACTTCTTGCAATAGAGTATTTATAGACTTATAAAATGCGTCAGACATTAAGACAGGTGTGTTATTCTGACAAATATGTTGACCAAAATTAAAGTGACACCAGTAATACACGTGAAAGAAAAGCTATTTGCTGGTTTGGAAAAATAGCTGGAAAGGCAAAAGAAAATTGCTGTGGCAGAGAGATGGCATAAGGCCAACTGTCTCTGGGTAATACACTTCTGGATACTTGCAGAATAAGTACATACACGAGTGACAGACACAGACCTCCTTCCTCTCTCCAGCCACAAGACCTGGGAAACATGAGTTAGAAATGTCCTTCTCACCAAAATGTGGTCCAGTCAAACTGATATTTTACTTTGGAAAAAAGAGTGGACAGAAGAATCTTTTGTGGTCCATACAAACCATTCCTTTTATATTTTACAGTGATTTAAGGCTTTGCTTAGACTGAATTGTGTCAATTTTTTTGACAAAAACAAAATCCTCAAACCCTCAAATATCTGTTTTAAAATATTTCAGCTTTTCCGTATGCTAATCAATTTCTGGTCTAAGCTGTTCTGTGAATTTAACCTGCAATGTGGAGTTTGATTTCTCCAATATTAAATAGTCTGTGATGTTACAACTCATCAAGAAAAAATAATTGCTTAGATTTTGCTACCAAGAAACCTAAGGAAGAGGAAAGGCACCACAGTCATAGGCATTGCATGCTGTGGGATTGAAAAAAAGAGAGATTTATAAAAAGCCTGTTAACCAATGTGACACCTACTACTTCCCCTGGCATGAGGAAACAACATCAGGGACAAAAGCCATATATAAATAGGTATCAGTTCAGATTATAGCAAGACAAATTGTTTACACCACATAACATACAAGACTTGCTAGGAAAAAAGTAAAGGATGCATAAGACAAAGAATGAATACAATATAATAAAATCACACTGAGAATTAAATTATTTCAATTTGCATGAATTCCTGAGACACCCCAGCCTGGCCTCACTGGGGTAGGTTTTCATACTGGTGGTCTGCTGACACATACTGCCATGGGTATAGCTGCAAAACAAGTGAATTAGTTGCAATTCATGGCTCCTCTTCATCCTAAGAAACATAATCTGTAGGCTAATAACTGTAATTTTACCTTTCTAGACTTGGAGTTTCCCTGATGTCCTTCAGTGCATCCGCTGCCAATGTAAGCAGAATCTGACTTGCTTTCTAGCAGTAGCTTGCATCAGCACCTGGATTTTTAGAGGCATTTGGACCTTACGAGACATTGAAGATGCTGGGTGTTGTGGAAAGGCTGCAAGGACATCTGATTCCATGGCATTTGGTCACAACTGAACCAAACACAACACACCAAAGCTGCAGCAGAGCGGTGTGGGGACAAACAGACACAGTCAAAGTAGCTGAAGGTTCAGTCTTTCTATCACTCCCTGAAACTCCCACGCTTGAGGTTCAACTGTGTCCTTGGCCCAAATCTCCCTTCATATCATTAAAACACCTCGGTTGTTTGCGTTAGGTATTGTTACGTAGCCACACAAATGCTGCCTTCAGGACCCCTGGGTCACCTCCTTTTCCTGTGCTATAGGCATGCAATGATGACAGTCATCTCTTCATCCTGGGGAAGCCCACGGGGTGCAAAGAACCTTCTGGAAGAGGGCGAGCTGCCCCCTGTGTGCTGAGGGGAGGTGCCAGCAGCTGAGGGGCCCTCTGCAGCACCTTTCCCGCCTCCAGGGCCAGGTCTGCACTTCAGCTCCAGGGCCGCCTCTGCCTGAGGAAAGCTCCAGCATGCACTGAGCACAGCTCTGGCCAGGCGTGTGGTGAACACGTGCTTGAAGTTGGTTTTGAGTCTCTCACTGAGCCTGTACCACCTGCCAGGGCCATTTGTTTCTCCTTCTGAAAGAAGTGTCATCTTGCAGTTTACTGTGCTCAAACCCAGCAGGACCATGCAGGTTACCGTTTACCGCATCGCTGCTGAACACAGACTGTGCCCATGATTTACATGGATGTAACAGGAATGCCTCTGATGCCACAGCATCCCTTGCTGCAGGGTTCAAGAGTGACAGACTGCGTGAGTGAGGAAGAAGGGGTGGCAGCAGACACAGAGCAGGGATCTGATGAGGTGAAGGAAGAGCTGTGCTGATGTCCTTCTATGTGTTGTGAGCAGCTGATGTGCCAGCCTCCGATTAGCGCTTCCTAAACCCAGATGGCATGTGGGAAAGCAGATGCTGTGTGATTCCACCCGCTCCTGGAGAGGGTCATCCTTTCTACACACGGCTGGGGCTGGGGAGAAGAGGTGACCTCAGCTGGGGACTGTTTCACTGTTGGCAGCAGATCAATGACTGCTCTCCAGATCTGCTCTGCTGACACAGGTTTCAAGCAAAGCAGTACTAATTTGCTTCATCTTCTGACAATCGGTCTCATTATGCATACTGCTCTCCTCTTAATTTCCTTGAGTCATGTTTTACAACATGAAGTTCCAAATCTTTTCCACCCTTACATGTACGTGCATAAACACCTGTCCAACTAGGCAGATGCCACTTTAGTGGAGCTGGGAGAGAAGAAAACAAAAGGGAGTAAAGAAATCCCCTTGATGCCAAATTTCATAACAAAGCTTGTCCTTGAGCCAGAACTCACAGAACAGAAACCACAAAAGACCCTTAGAGTGATTTAATCCAGTCTCCAGGCCAAATCACAGGATCATCCATTTCTTCATTGACACAACTGTGAGTAGTTTGTGTTCCTAAAAACCTCCAATGTTCTCTTCTCTGCAACATTCTCAGGTAATCACTTTTCATGATTTATCTTTATTACTGGAACACGTTTCTTTATGTCTAACCTTAAACTCACTTGTGACAATGTTAGTCCTTTTGCCATTCACTGGAGTTGTAGAGAAGACTTTATCTTCTCTATTTTCACAGCTTACAATAAAATGTTAGTCTGTGAGATCAGCCCTTAGAGGGCCTTGTGTCCTCAGGTGCAGGGCCAAATCAACAGGCTGGTTGTGTCCTGCCTGGGTGGCACTCATTCCTCCTGTGATGTTCCTCTGGAAGGCCACCAGCATGGGCAAACATAGTCAGTCCTCTGTTATGAGCAGCTCCTGCAGCTGACATAACACAATAGCATCAAATACAGGACAAGTGTTACCTGGGACACCAAGAATGACTGTATCTTCTTCAGTGTGTGTTATCCAAAGTTGCTTCCATGGTAAACTGTCTCTGCTGTGTATTATCCAAAAGTCCATGAATTCCTCTCATCTTCTTGGTCTGTGTACAAAGATACACACGTAAATATCAGTCAAGACAACACTCCATCTTCAAAGTAGAAGAGCTGCTAAGGTTTAATAAGATTTTAAAAAATTTTATGAGTATTGAATATAGCCAACTTATGAATCTTCTGTATGTATTATGTTACTGCAAACTCCAACACGCTTTAGAAACTTATGCACTAATTGTGCAATCATTTTTAAAATAGTTTTAAAATTGAATACGCATACTTCATACTTATGATTGAGGTACATATGTTATGGCTACAGTCCTTTCTACTGAAAGATTATGGCTGGAAAAAATCACTGAAAGGTTTGGTAACTGGAGGTATGTTTAATAAATGTATGGTAACACAATAAAAATAGTTACCCATGTTTTATTTTAAGTAGTTTCCACAGGAACATAGTAATTTATACAGATATGGTTTTCAGATGTCTGTTTTTGTTATTAAATAGCAACAAAAAATCACATAAAAAAGTAAGTTACTTTCAGGAAAAAGTTTCCATTGACCTCCATTGAAAGCAGGTCTAAGACCGTACCACTGCAAAAGATCATCAGCTTCAGTACAGTCCTCCTTGTCTACTCCCATGTCATCACAGATTGGGAGAAGAAAGGCGGTGAAATTTTCTGACCTCTTCAAAGGGTGTGTTGACGAGCAGGACTTTGGAAGACTACATGAAAGCATCCCAATAAAACTGTACTGTTTAAAGAAATGTTACTTGAAGAACATGTGAGAAACTTCAGAACCCATATGCCAAGGAATACTCTGCTCTCTTTAAAAAATAAAGGATGTGTTTACTGTCTGGAAATTTATGAACCATTAATAATTAAAGCTCACCTGACACATTAATTTTCTTCCTAATTTGGCTACCTCTAAGCTCAAGAACACCTAACCTTTCCTTGAATAGTGCAACTCATCAGCCTGTGAAATAATTAGGCTGAATTTTCAGGGAATGTCAGAAGCACATTTTTTCTTGAACCACAAGTAATGAATATGTACGCATACTTGTAAACATCTCTGTGCTTTGGCTTGTATTTGCAGTTGGATGCATGGTTTGAGAAGGAAAATAACTCTTAAAATAGTTAAACATAGTGCTGAAATTGCTTCTAGAATTTTCTTTTAATTAATTTTCATTTGTATTTTGATGAAGCTCAGCTAAAAGTTAGGTCCATGCACAGTCCAGTGCCTTCACTCTGGAGACACTCTCTGTGCCAGTGGGAAGAAAGCAATGAGTGCAAAATAACATTCAAATACTATTCCTAGGGGCCAAACTTTCAGCAGGGCCCTAAAGGCCCATGTAAGCCCTACAAAAAAAGGCTAGAAATGGGCATAAATAGCACCTCCATCTCGTTCTTGGTGGTGGTGAGGTAGTAAATTCACTGAAAATTGAATTCAGCTGTGCAATCCTGAATAACTATTACTGATGGAAGTCCATTGTAAATCTGCAGATGTCATTTGCCTATTTAAACCTATGCTTACCTGTTTTGCCTCTGGGTAGTCTTCACCCAGAAAAGGAATTGTGAATAACTACTAATATTTATTTTGGAAGCCCAGATTTAAGACCTGTACACATTCAAACAGAGAAGAATAACATTTGACAGACACTGTTACCGCTTAAAATTTTGTCAATATTTACACTGCCGAAAATGCTTGGTAGAAATTTCACATGTCTGAGTAGCCCCAGAAAAAAAGCAAAAACAAACAAACAAAAAAACCCTACATCTGAGGAATTGCATAAAACCTGCAGTGAAGCAAGGTCATATTAATCAGTTAATCACTTTCCTCTAATTACTATTATCATGGTTTGTGCTATTTCTGATGTTCAATTTTTCAGTACTGTAGCAGTCACAGTGCTAGATCAAACCGTGACTATTCAGTGCACATGGTGCACATGAAAAGACAGATGTGTGCATGCATACACAAACAATTTCCCATTAAAATCAATATTGGATCCCCAGTTATTAAATCTGAGTATCAAAATACACTCAAGACACATTTCTGTAATTCCAAGCAGCAAAGTTGTTCACAGAGTGCAATGAAACCACTAGGAACATCACTAGATTGATTAATGTGATATGACTGAGGGCAGAAATTAAGCTGGGGATAGGGGTCTCCATTAAAAATGTTTATTGCTAAGTACTCATGTATCACTCCAGTTCCTCTGCAGATCTCAAAAAAACCCCAACAACATTAGAACCTTCTTCAGGGAAAACAAAAGTCATTTAGCTGACATATTCATCAGAGAAATTTTGCTTCCTTTCTTTACTCCAATCTTATTCAGGGTGCTAAGAGTGCTAATAAAACCTGATAGAAGTACCAGTTTGGGAAATAGTTAAATACGTGCTTAACACAAAGCAACACTTTAAACAAAATATGTGCTTTTTTCAGTTCAGGATTCAGTAGCGTGAATCTGATTGGGAAAAAACATTACCAGTGTATCAAGTTGGATGCATCGAAACTGCTTCCACCCTGCCAGCCCCTGTATTATTCTTACCCCCTCAAATCCAGTAACTTATTCAGCAGCTGCACAAGGTTGCAATCAGTTCAGAAAAGCATCCAATAAAAATTAATTTTTTATCCAGAATAGATAACATTGATACCATCTACTCACCTTGCCACCTCCTCCAAGCCTGACAGTAACCTGAACCTGATTGTCTGGCAAAGACTATTCATTGTGACCCACGTAGAACTGTGTGCTACTGTGGGTATTTACAGTTGCTCCAAGGTTGCTTACTTTTACATCCAGGATCATATAAAAGAAATAATTCATATATGAACCTAAAATTTTGCAGCATTCAAACATCTGGAGAAATAAGATGGGATCCACTTTTAAAAAGTCAAAATACAGTTACTGATTTTGGTGTTGTTTTTATGAGACAAATTGAGCTACATCAGCCTGCAGTGTTTACGTATGCTTCTACTCAGAGCCAGAGGGAGGGATGAGAATCAGGAAGAGTTCT